CTAACCTAACCTTCCTGAAAAGAGCTTCACAGTATCGATAACGACTGACTCCTGACATTAGTAAATAGATCGATTGATATCTACACTAATGGATGCAAGTTACCAAAGGGTGAGAGAGATGGATTCTATATCTCCTTGTCTAATCAACCTGCACCACCAATATAGTATTTTACATACTGACATCTTAACCAGGATGGGATGAATGTCGAAGTGCTTTACGAGAACACCTCCCGTATGGGCCTTATTTCATGGTGGTCTTTTTCAACCACTGGGTGAGCTCTGTGATGACTCACCACTTTTGATTCTCGTAAATGGAATGTCCTGTATAGTGCACTTTGCTGAAGTACTCAAGCTATCTAATCTCTTGCCAAACTAGGTAGCAACCTACCTCGACAAGCTGTGAAGCGCTAATCGAATCGAAAGAGAGGGGTTAACGAAAACCGAAACATCACACCTGCTAAATCCGTAATCTCGGGAAAGACACCGAGATGGAGCAACAGGTATATGCATAGTCATGAGCAACGCCGTAGCGTCCTCATTCTCTTAAGATCCGCTCAGATGATATTTACAAAAATTCGTCGCACAACCACATCACCCTGTTAATTCGGCAACAGTCGGCAGACTAGATGGTAGCACCTTTTTCCCCGGGATTGCAATCACAGGTCTTTCATCAAGGTAACATGCCCCCCGGGGGAGGTACTATATGATATTCTATAGGAATATTCGAATCTGTACTGACAGCAAACCTGTCAAATCTGTAACTGGAGTCTATACGACTTCCAGACTGGTTCGCGAATGTCGGATGTTTCTTAACGAAATACCAAACCATTCAAACTTAGAGATACCCTAGGTACTGGGACATTCCAATGTTTCAGAAAATAATATTGCGGGCGCATTAGCGAATTTAAGTCCTCGCTGTAAATCTTTAATTCAGTAGGAAATTCGTGATGACGGCTCAAAGAATCCTGACTACTTGCTAAACTTTTAGGCAGACTTGGGCTCTATATATTTGAGAAAAGTCTCATAGGTAGTTATGGGCTTTCAAGTGATAAGCTAATAATGTTGATAGCCATACAGGTAAAACGAAGGTGCGCATGCTGGAAAACTGAATCTTTCATATGTTGAATTCTGTAGAAGGTCCCATGTCGAGAACGAGGAGAAGACTATTGAATATTTTCTTGGTCATTGTCCCGCCCTCTCGGCAACTGCTAATATGGGTAGTCCGAAGTTGTATGACACAGTAGATCTATACAGGATTGATGTGCATAGTATAGAATCATATGTTCGTGCCTCGGTTTGAATGGACTCTGTATTGAACAGAGAAACATGTGTTGAACAGAAACATGTAATGTCGAGGCGCGATCCGCTTCAGGTTTTCACAACGGGATCAGTACATGGACCATAATATATAGTAAAAGAAACCTAAGAGGTTTGTATTTAAACGTTCCTACATCTTCGGTTGTGTTCCGATTTCCAAAAAAAAAATACATCTTCTCAGTTTAAAAAAAATTATTATCGCTTCTTTAGAAGTCATTCCACAGAAGATGAAGAACTTAATATTTCAATAATTTCACAAACCCCTTAACAAAAGTGTTTATACGAATATTATGCAAAATCTATGACTATATTTCTTGAACTTGGTATATATTTACAACTAATTCTATCAACCTTTATTTTATCAATGGGAGTGATAATTTTGTGTTATTTTCTATATATTTTTTTAAATTCATTTCATATTGTTGTATTTCATTACAAATTTTCAATTGTATTTCTTAATTTATGTTTTACTATCAATAACATTAGTTTTTAATTTTTTAACATTTTTCTTGTTTAAATAACACGATACTTTGTGCGTTAATTAGGGTTTTTATGACATAATATGTATGTTTTTTTGTAAGTCTGTGAGTTAATTTTGGGAAATGACATTTAAGCATGATCTGAACAATGAAAAATTTTGAAACACAACTGATTATATCCTGCTTTTTGAAAAACTTTTATCAAAACTTAGCTAAGATATTGTTTTAATTAAGAAATTTATATGAGAATATGATTTATAGAAATTCAACTAATTCATTAAAATTTATTAGAGACAGACATAACATAACATCGGGAATATTTTCAACAAGTAAAAGTATTTGAAATACTTAAATGCCGTATTGTGGGAGTATGATTTCTGTGTGAATGCTATTAATTATACAATATCTAATAATGAATTTAAAACGATCACAACTTTAAATTTATTTATAATTATAGTATGTATGTATATGACTATAATATCTAGATTTATAAATATGTATGTAGTACATCACTAATGCTTATTTCTTTGTTAATATATCATTTTCAAAAACGTTTAATATTTGTATTATTTTAGTATTTTTTCCAAAAAGAACCACAAAAAGTTATTTGATTAAATATTGTAAATAATGTGGGATTTATTTTTATTATTTATAATTTATACCTAATAAAGTTAAAACATTTAAATGTCAAGAGGAGTGGAAATAATAAAGTGACAGGAAGGAATTAACAGTTTTATAAATCAAATATGAGATGTAACACGTAGACTAGACATAGACTAGACATAGACTACATAGACTAACATAGACTAGACATAGACTAGACATAGACTAGACATAGACTAGACATAGACTAGAGACATAGACTAGACATAGACTAGACTAGACATAGACTAGACATAGACTAGACATAGACTAGACATAGACTAGACATAGACTAGACATAGACTAGACATAGACTAGACATAGACTAGACATAGACTAGACATAGACTAGACATAGACTAGACATAGACTAGACATAGACTAGACATAGACTAGACATAGACTAGACATAGACTAGACATAGACTAGACATAGACTAGACATAGACTAGACATAGACTAGACTAGACTAGACATAGACTAGACATAGACTAGACATAGACTAGACATAGACTAGACATAGACTAGACATAGACTAGACATAGACTAGACATAGACTAGACATAGACTAGACATAGACTAGACATAGACTAGACATAGACTAGACATAACTAGACATAGACTAGACATAGACTAGACATAGACTAGACTAGACTAGACATAGACTAGACATAGACTAGACATAGACTAGACATAGACTAGACATAGACTAGACATAGACTAGACATAGACTAGACATAGACTAGACATAGACTAGACATAGACTAGACATAGACTAGACATAGACTAGACATAGACTAGACATAGACTAGACATAGACTAGACATAGACTAGACATAGACTAGACATAGACTAGACATAGACTAGACATAGACTAACATAGACTAGACATCGACTAGACATAGACTAGACATAGCTAGACATAGACTAGACATAGACTAGACATGACTAGACATAGACTAGACATAGACTAGACATAGACTAGACATAGACTAGACATAGACTAGACATAGACTAGACATAGACTAGACATAGACATAGACATAGACTAGCATAGACTAGACATAGACTAGACATAGACTAGACATAGACTAGACATAGACTAGACATAGACTAGACATAGACTAGACATAGACTAGACATAGACTAGACATAGACTAGACATAGACTAGACATAGACTAGACATAGACTAGACATAGACTAGACATAGACTAGACATAGACTAGACATAGACTAGACATAGACTAGACATAGACTAGACATAGACTAGACATAGACTAGACATAGACTAGACATAGACTAGACATAGACTAGACATAGACTAGACATAGACTAGACATAGACTAGACATAGACTAGACATAGACTAGACATAGACTAGACATAGACTAGACATAGACTAGACATAGACTAGACATAGACTAGGACATAGACTAGACATAGACTAGACATAGACTAGACATAGACTAGACATAGACTAGACATAGACTAGACATAGACTAGACATAGACTAGACATAGACTAGACATAGACTAGACATAGACTAGACATAGACTAGACCTAGACTAGACATAGACTAGACATAGACTAGACATAGACTAGACATAGACTAGACATCGACTAGACATAGACTAGACATAGACTAGACATAGACTAGACATAGACTAGACATAGACTAGACATAGACTAGACATAGACTAGACATAGACTAGACATAGACTAGACATAGACTAGACATAGACTAGACATAGACTAGACATAGACTAGACATAGACTGACATAGACTAGACATAGACTAGACATAGGACTAGACATAGACTAGACATAGACTAGACATAGACTAGACATAGACTAGACATAGACTAGACATAGACTAGACATAGACTAGACATAGACTAGACATAGACTAGACATAGACTAGACATAGACTAAGACATAGACTAGACATAGACTAGACATAGACTAGACATAGACTAGGACATAGACTAGACATAGACTAGACATAGACTAGACATAGACTAGACATAGACTAGACATAGACTAGACATAGACTAGACATAGACTAGACATAGACTAGACATAGACTAGACATAGACTAGACATAGACTAGACATAGACTAGACATAGACTAGACATAGACTAGACATAGACTAGACATAGACTTGTTAGTTCATAGTTATGAATACTGAATCATTTCATACATTGAACTGTGAATTTCCTTTATAACAAATATTATGAATGCGTATTTATAATAAATTTAAATTTGAATATAATTATATTTAGTTGAGTTGTTCTGTATGCCAATTAGTAGCGGGATTTGTGGTTTGTACAGTAACAAACATTTTGGCCATTTTAATTGCACAACAAATAAAACCAATAAATAAATTTGGAACAGCAAAAACAAACAAAAAAAAAACTATTTTTATAAAAGTGTTTAATATTTGTATTGTTATTATAATGACACGTACTTGTATTATGAATACAATTTTATTTAAACCATTAAATATTTACAAAACATGAATTAAATTAAATGAATCCTTTTGTATTTCCATTCAAGTGTATAATTTGTTGTTAAATTTATTAATATTTTTTATTACTAATCATTCATTTATACACATACATTTGTGCTTGTTTTATCTAAAGTAATTATTGTTTATTTATTAACATTATTATCTACTTATATTGAATAATATTATCAAGTATTTGTAACTAATTTTATAACTACATTTCCAATCCAGTTTCAAATTGGCTTAAAAATACTTGTTGTTGTTGTGTTCTTTCCTAATACATAGTTCTGCCATTCAAATCTAAACTATGTTTTTTTTGCCTAAATTTTTATAAAACATCTGACATTTAAATGTTGCTTGCAAATTTCATAAATTTTAATGTTTCCAGTTATTTTTTGCTAATTGTTTTGGATTTGTTTGTTACTTTTAATTTTTTACTTAAATTATAAATTTTTTTATTAAAATTTGTTAAAATACTTTTGATGCACTTAAAAAAACTTATGCAGAAATTGCTAAAGTATTGTACAACGTCCTTTATTTCTATTTGATTGTGAAAATTCAGTGCCAATGGCACCGCCACTACTGGTACAACCCATTAATTCACGAAAAACATCACCAATTTTATAATTGTATCTAATGGGGCGTGAGAATATTATAGAAAAGAAAAAAATGAAGAAGAACAAAAAAATATACATTTGCAAAATTATCTCTGAGAGTAAAAATATGTTTTTCATCCCCAGCCATCAAGGAACTAAAAGGATTTGAAATACTTACTGTGCTGAACACTCCACATAACCGCAACGCCAATGTTTTCGTACTAAAGTTGAAATATCTTTTAATTCCTAAAATGGGAAATGACAAACAAAAATATTTTATAAATAATAGCACTATAAACATAATTATCAATACTATATAATGGTAATAGCGATGTTTAAGACAGTTGGGAACTCTATACCTATGTACATACATATATAGTCTAGTCTATAGTCTAGTCTATAGTCTAGTCTATAGTCTAGTCTATAGTCTAGTCTATAGTCCTAGTCTATAGTCTAGTCTATAGTCTATAGTCTATAGTCTAGTCTATAGTCTAGTCTATAGTCTAGTCTATAGTCTAGTCTATAGTCTAGTCTATAGTCTAGTCTATAGTCTAGTCTATAGTCTAGTCTATAGTCTAGTCTATAGTCTAGTCTATAGTCTAGTCTATAGTCTAGTCTATAGTCTAGTCTATAGTCTAGTCTATAGTCTAGTCTATAGTCTAGTCTATAGTCTATAGTCTAGTCTATAGTCTAGTCTATAGTCTAGTCTATAGTCTAGTCTATAGTCTAGTCTATAGTCTAGTCTATAGTCTAGTCTATAGTCTAGTCTATAGTCTAGTCTATAGTCTAGTCTATAGTCTAGTCTATAGTCTAGTCTATAGTCTAGTCTATAGTCTAGTCTATAGTCTAGTCTATAGTCTAGTCTATAGTCTAGTCTATAGTCTAGTCTATAGTCTAGTCTATAGTCTAGTCTATAGTCTAGTCTAAAGTCTAGTCTAAAGTCTAGTCTATAGTCTAGTCTATAGTCTAGTCTATAGTCTAGTCTATAGTCTAGTCTATAGTCTAGTCTATAGTCTAGTCTATAGTCTAGTCTATAGTCTAGTCTATAGTCTAGTCTATAGTCTAGTCTATAGTCTAGTCTATAGTATAGTCTATAGTATAGTCTATAGTATAGTCTATAGTCTAGTCTATAGTCTAGTCTATAGTCTAGTCTATAGTCTAGTCTATAGTCTAGTCTATAGTCTAGTCTATAGTCTAGTCTATAGTCTAGTCTATAGTCTAGTCTATAGTCTAGTCTATAGTCTAGTCTATAGTCTAGTCTATAGTCTAGTCTATAGTCTAGTCTATAGTCTAGTCTATAGTATAGTCTATAGTATAGTCTATAGTCCTAGTCTAGTCTATAGTCTAGTCTATAGTCTAGTCTATAGTCTAGTCTATAGTCTAGTCTATAGTCTAGTCTATAGTCTAGTCTATAGTCTAGTCTATAGTCTAGTCTATAGTCTAGTCTATAGTCTAGTCTATAGTCTAGTCTATAGTCTAGTCTATAGTCTAGTCTATAGTCTAGTCTATAGTCTAGTCTATAGTCTAGTCTATAGTCTAGTCTATAGTCTAGTCTATAGTCTAGTCTATAGTCTAGTCTATAGTCTAGTCTATAGTCTAGTCTATAGTCTAGTCTATAGTCTAGTCTATAGTCTAGTCTATAGTCTAGTCTATAGTCTAGTCTATAGTCTAGTCTATAGTCTAGTCTATAGTCTAGTCTAGTCTATAGTCTAGTCTATAGTCTAGTCTATAGTCTAGTCTATAGTCTAGTCTATAGTCTAGTCTATAGTCTAGTCTATAGTCTAGTCTATATCTGGTCTATAGTCTAGTCTATAGTCTAGTCTATAGTCTAGTCTATAGTCTAGTCTATAGTCTAGTCTATAGTCTAGTCTATAGTCTAGTCTATAGTCTAGTCTAGTCTAGTCTATAGTCTAGTCTATAGTCTAGTCTATAGTCTAGTCTATAGTCTAGTCTATAGTGTAGTCTATAGTCTAGTCTATAGTGTAGTCTATAGTCTAGTCTATAGTCTAGTCTATAGTCTAGTCTATAGTCTAGTCTATAGTATAATCTGTAGTCTAGTCTATTGTCTATAGCCTAATCTATAGTCTAATCTCTAGTCTTATTTGTAGTCTAGTCTATAGTCTAGTTTGTAGTCTAGTCTATAGTCTAGTCTATAGTCCAGTCTATCGTCTAGTCTATAGTCTGATCTATATTCTATTCTATATGTAGTCTAGTTTATGGCCTTTAGTGCAGTCTCTAGTCTAGTCGAAAGTCTTTAGTCTATATTCTTTATTCTACAGTCTAGTCTATATTCTGGTCTATATTCTAGTCTATAGTCTAGTTTATAGTCTAATCGTTATTTTTTTTATATTTTGTTTTTTTTACATTTACCTGTGAATTTGCTTGAGTTTCATTTATTGTATCATATTTATTGCCAACTACAATTATACTAAAATCACGATGACTAAAACTATCCAAAATTTGATCTCTCATAGATCTGCAATACTGTTATACAAAGAAGAGAAGAAAAGAGCAAAATTGAAATTAATACCTTTAAAAGTGAAGAAATAAAAAAAGTTGCTAAAGTGTTAATAGCGCTAAAATAAAAACTGGCAATTTAAAAAGTTTGTCCAAGATTTTATTTTTGCTTGTTTTTTTTTTTTTTTTGGAAAATAAAAACTTTCGACATTTGAAAAGGCTAATAAATTTGTCAATAAATAATTGCCAAATAACACACAGGTACTTTTGGAATATAGAAAAATTTGTTTTTTTCTTTGTTTTATATAAATAATGAAAGTATAAACAAATAATAATGAATAAACAATTGCCTAAACTTACCCGAAATGTTTCCAAGTTTCCCATATCAAACACTAAAACATACGCATGAACTGTTCGCAACCCCAGTGGATGTCCATTGTTCCATTCAGCAAAATTATCAGCTGGAAATCGTTTCTGTTGAATATTTGTTAATGTTTTAGTGGATGTTGTTTTTGTTTTCGTTATTGTTGTTGTTTATGATGTTGAGCGTAATTTAAAGAAAATTAGAAAAGTTTTAATTGACCCAACATTTAATGTACTATTTCTTTTGCTTAATACTATATATTTTGTTCTATTTGGTTTTATTTCAATTCTAATGGAAATGCAAATGTTTGTGTTTGAATGGAGGAGAAAGGAAAGGAGGAAAAAATTCCATTTATATTAATGGGTTTCACAGTATTTATTAAAAATTAAATTAGAAAACACTTGCCTTCTTATTAATTTCTAATATAAACTATTTAAAATATGTTAATTATTTGTTAAAGTTGAATTAAAATAAACTTTTTGAAAAAGAAAAACTGTGAAATTCTTAATAGCTGTTGGCATTTTAAGCTTTTAAAAACAAGGTAATGATTTGTTTAATATAATTAAAATTACACTTGGGAAATTTTAATATTAAATGAAACAATTATTACAGAAAATCTTTACTAATTAAGTCAATTATAAGTAAAATTTATTGATTTTCAATAACAATATAATTTAATATTCACATTGGTTTAGAATTAAATTGAATTGTAAATTAGATTTCAATTTAAAATATATATAATTTCTTTAAGTGTAATACAACAACTATTACTACTACTCGAATAATATATATCTGTTACATTTTTTACTTTTAAAACATGAATAGAATTTATTTACCTGGGGTGGAACATCGATTACCATCAGCTCTCGTATACATGTATCACATACCAGGCAGCTCTTGTATACTTTTCGTCTGGTTGTTGTTTGATGTGTCTTGGGAAAATCATGGTAGAAAAATTGCTGCAAATATAACGAGAAAAAAAAAAGAAATGGAAAATGAAAACAAACTAACAAAAATTACATATTTGTATTTGTATAAAGTCAACAGTGGAAATTATACACACACACACACATACATCTATATTTACAAATATTAAATTTCTATTTAAAATGTAATATAAATTGGAAAATTTCATAAAAAATTGACAATAAAATTTAACTTTAGATTAAATTTTTATAAAACTAAAGTAATTTAAATTGAATTTAATTAAATGGTATTTTATATTTTAAGATAACTTTACAAATGTCAACTAGTCTCTGTATCATATTTATACTTAAACTAGCTATAACCAGTGTGCTTCGCTCCCCTCCCCTTACAATTTTTCTTTTTCCTTTTTAATGGGAAATCCCACACCCATTATTCTATTCGTATATGTACAGTAAAAGTATTTTTACAATATTTTAAAACTCTCACTATTTCCGTTTCAATAACGGAAAAAATTCCAATTTAAAGTTTTTGAGTTTAAGCTGTTATTGAGGTGCTACCATATGTTCATACAAAGTGGTGCTGGGGTTCAATATTGAAGACCCAAAAACAGTAATATACCACCGTTTACCTGATCATAACACAAGCTTCCAGGAAGAAGTCCCAGCAATAACGGAATGCATAAATTGGATTATAATAAATATGGCGCCCACAGCCCTTAATATGTTTACCGACAGCCAGAAGGCAATTAGTGCGATATTAGGTGATAGAATTAAATCTAATACCGTATTGGATTGTAAGAAATCTTTAACTGAACAGTCTCCCAGAGGTAAGGTATACATCACAAGGGTACTAGGCCACTCGGGAGTAGTCGGCAACGAAAAGGCGAATGTAATAGTTTTAAAGGGAAGTGTGCTTGAGGCAGTTAACCTAACAAACGCAAAACCATTCGATGCACCAAAAGGTAAATTAAAAAAATATGGATGAGAGAGTCCCATAATGCCTTGCCCCCAGATGAGACCAAGACGAGATATCTTCTCAAAATGAGCAAGTCTGAAGTTAGTATAATAATACGTATTCTGGGTGGACACATAGAATTACGAGCACATCTATACAAAATTGGACGTGCGGATTCAGACGAATGTAGAGCATATGGAGAGAACAGTGAAACTCTGGATCACTTCCTTTGCCACTGTCAGGCATTCCTCCAAATTAGATCCAAGTATCTTGGAAGTGATGCTATTCCGGAAATAACACTACATCCCTAGAGAATGTGTTCGCCACTTCGAAAGTTGTCCAAGCATGCCGCACTTTTATCACTTTTATCTTTTATCGAGTAAAAACATAAAAGTGCATTTTCTGGCAAAACTTCCAAAATTCGATTTTTTGAGTTAAAATATAAAAGTGCAGGTTAAAAACAAAGAAATGGATATAAAATTCCATTTTCTGGCTAAACTATAGACGATAGGGCAAAAACAATGAACATCTGTGATCACTTTTATTTCCTACCAAAATTAAATTTTTTGAGTAAAAACATAAAGGTCCATTTTCTGGCTAAACTATAGGCGCTAGGGCAAAAACAATGAAAATTTGTGATCGATTTTTGGAGTGAAAACATAAAAGTCCATTTTCTGGCTAAACTATAGACGCTAGGGCAAAAACAATGAAATTCCGTGATCACTTTTATTTCCTACCAAAACTCGATTTTTGGAGTGAAAACATAAAAGTCCATTTTCTGGCTAAACTATAGGTGCTAGGGCAAAAACAATGAAAATATGTGATCACTTGTATTTCCTACCAAAATTAAATTTTTTGAGTGAAAACATAAAAGTCCATTTTCTGGCTAAATTATAGACGTTAGGGCAAAAACAATGAAAATCTGTGATCACTTTTATTTCCTACCAAAACTCGATTTTTTGAGTGAAAACATAAAAGTCCATTTTCTGGCTAAACTATAGGCGCTAGGGCAAAAACAATGAAAATCTGTGATCACTTTTATTTCCTACCAAAACTCGATTTTTAGGTGAAAACATAAAAGTCCATTTTCTGGATAACTAAAGGCGCTAGGGCAAAAACAATGAAATTTTGTGATCACTTTATTTCCTACCAAAATCCGATTTTTTGAGTGAAAACATAAAAGTCCATTTTCTGGCTAAACTATAGGCGCTAGGGCAAAAACAATGAAAATCTGTGATCACTTTTATTTCCTACCAAAACTCGATTTTTGGAGTAAAAACATAAAAGTCCATTTTCTGGCTAAATTATAGACGCTAGGGCAAAAACAATGAAAATCTGTGATCACTTTTATTTCCTACCAAAACTCGATTTTTGGAGTAAAAACATAAAAGTCCATTTTCTGGCTAAATTATAGACGTTAGGGCAAAAACAATGAAAATCTGTGATCACTTTTATTTCCTAACAAAACTCGATTTTTTGAGTGAAAACATAAAAGTCCATTTTCTGGCTAAACTATAGGCGCTAGGGCAAAAACAATGAAAATCTGTGATCCTTATTTCCTACCTAGGGCAAAAACAATGAAAATCTGTGATCACTTTTATTTCCTACCAAAACTCGATTTTTAGGTGAAAACATAAAAGTCCATTTTCTGGATAACTAAAGGCGCTAGGGCAAAAACAATGAAATTTTGTGATCACTTTATTTCCTACCAAAATTCGATTTTTTGAGTGAAAACATAAAAGTCCATTTTCTGGCTAAACTATAGGCGCTAGGGCAAAAACAATGAAAATCTGTGATCACTTTTATTTCCTACCAAAACTCGATTTTTGGAGTAAAAACATAAAAGTCCATTTTCTGGCTAAATTATAGACGCTAGGGCAAAAACAATGAAAATCTGTGATCACTTTTATTTCCTACCAAAACTCGATTTTTGGAGTAAAAACATAAAAGTCCATTTTCTGGCTAAATTATAGACGTTAGGGCAAAAACAATGAAAATCTGTGATCACTTTTATTTCCTAACAAAACTCGATTTTTTGAGTGAAAACATAAAAGTCCATTTTCTGGCTAAACTATAGGCGCTAGGGCAAAAACAACGAAAATCTGTTATCCTTATTTCCTACCAAAATTAAATTTTTTGAGTGAAAACATAAAGGTCCATTTTCTGGCTAAACTATAGGCGCTAGGGCAAAAACAATGAAAATCTGTGATCACTTTTATTTCCTACCAAAACTCGATTTTTGGAGTAAAAACATAAAAGTCCATTTTCTGGCTAAACTATAGGCGCTAGGGCTAAAACAATGAAAATCTGTGATCACTTTTATTTCCTACCAAAACTCGATTTTTGGAGTAAAAACATAAAAGTCCATTTTCTGGCTAAATTATAGACGTTAGGGCAAAAACAATGAAAATCTGTGATCACTTTTATTTCCTAACAAAACTCGATTTTTTGAGTGGAAACATAAAAGTCCATTTTCTGGCTAAACTATAGGCGCTAGGGCAAAAACAATCAAAATCTGTGATCACTTGTACTTCCTACCAAAACTCGATTTTTAGGTGAAAACATAAAAGACCATTTTCTGGCTAAACTATAGGCGCTAGGGCAAAAACAGTGAAAATCTGTGATCACTTTTATGTCCCATCAAAACTCGATTTTTGGAGCGAAAACAATGAAAATTTGTGATCACTTTCTTTGTTTCTATTTCCTACCAAAATTCGATTTTTTGAGTGAAAACATAAAAGTCCATTTTCTGGCTAAACTATAGGCGCTAGGGCAAAAACAATGAAAATCTGTGATCACTTTTATTTCCTACCAAAACTCGATTTTTAGGTGAAAACATAAAAGTCCATTTTCTGGCTAAACTATAGGCGCTAGGGCAAAAACAATGAAAATCTGTGATCACTTTTATGTCCTATCAAAACTCGATTTTTGGAGTGAAAACATAAAAGTCCATTTTCTGGCTAAACTATAGGCGCTAGGGCAAAAACAATGAAAATCTGTGATCACTTTTATTTCCTACCAAAACTCGATTTTTGGAGTAAAAACATAAAAGTCCATTTTCTGGCTAAATTATAGACGCTAGGGCAAAAACAATGAAAATCTGTGATCACTTTTATTTCCTACCAAAACTCGATTTTTGGAGTAAAAACATAAAAGTCCATTTTCTGGCTAAATTATAGACGTTAGGGCAAAAACAATGAAAATCTGTGATCACTTTTATTTCCTAACAAAACTCGATTTTTTGAGTGAAAACATAAAAGTCCATTTTCTGGCTAAACTATAGGCGCTAGGGCAAAAACAATGAAAATCTGTGATCCTTATTTCCTACCAAAATTAAATTTTTTGAGTGAAAACATAAAGGTCCATTTTCTGGCTAAACTATAGGCGCTAGGGCAAAAACAATGAAAATCTGTGATCACTTTTATTTCCTACCAAAACTCGATTTTTAGGTGAAAACATAAAAGTCCATTTTCTGGCTAAACTATAGGCGCTAGGGCTAAAACAATGAAAATCTGTGATCACTTTTAGTTCCTACCAAAATTCAACTTTTTGAGTGAAAACATAAAAATCCATTTTCTGGCTAAACTATAGGCGCTAGGGCAAAAACAATGAAAATTTGTGATCACTTTATTTCCTACCAAAATTCGATTTTTTGAGTGAAAACATAAAAGTCCATTTTCTGGCTAAACTGTAGGCACTAGGCTAAAAACAATGAAAATCAGTGATCACATTTAAATCCTCACCTTGGATGGATTGCGTTACATGGAGGCATTTCGCTAACGCACTAGCGAAAGACGGATGAACCCTACATGAGAATGAGTTTGGCTGCAACATCGGAATATCTTACGTGAAAAGAAAACAGTCGATTGCAGACAAACAGCAATTGATCCCATGCAGAGGATGAAAAAAATAACCCACCCACAGAAAAATCTGGCCTACGACTATATGATACGGACAAACTTTGTCATAAACCTGTCAAGATTCCATCTCAAAAACCTCATCGCGATCATAACAAGACACAGGCCACTGGACATACATGCGCCAAGGCTACAACTTCCTTCATACAATGATTTCTGGACTAGCTGCAATGATGAAGAGGAAAACGAAAGCACTGTGCTTTTCCTCTGCCCTCTGGTACCCTATAAAAGACGCTTCTAAAGGAGCCCCTCTTCTGATCAGTTTCGATTCATTTTTTTTATATTTATATATCTTGAAGTTTTGGATTAATTTTTGAATCTTGGGTAATGTTTGACTCTTTCTTTAGTAATTTTTATGTCTGTTACAAACAAATACAATTATAGAGTGTTTTATGAACCCCTTTTTTACGACTAATTTTTGATTAGTAGTTACGAATATTTTTTAAGCAATTATAAGTGAAATTATTAGAATTTAATCATATTTCGGGATCATATTCGAATAATTTTTTAAGAGCACAATTTACTAAACACTTTTAGGTTATCAAAAGGAGCCAAAAATGTCTCAGTTTCACAAACATATGAAGCGACGCTTGCTTCAGACGAATTAAGCAAGACAGTAACTGCCTGAAAATGTCAGATTTGGACTGTGAGAGATCTTTAACCGTTTACAATTCTGCATCCATATGCCTGGCATCATTGGGAACCGAATTTGAACAAGTTTACCTGACGAATACTGATTTAGTAAGTCCGAGGTTAGTACGATGGGCGGTATTTTAAGTGGACACAAAGGATTACGGCGGAACGCCCCAGCGGAACGACTTGAAGTTAAGGCATCCCAAAAATACAGTTATTTCATTAGCGTTTGACCGTTTGGTTGGATCTAATTCATCTTTTGTTACGAATGTACTCCTTTGTAAGCGAAAGCGTACATAATTGCCACTTTACTGTCCCTAAGTAATTCCTCCGGGGGGATGTTACCATGATGAGAACTCCATCTTGGTGTTATTGCAATATCCCGGGGAAAAAAGGTACTACCAGTATCTCTAGTCTGCCGGGAATATAAACTAGTGATGATCAAATGTATCCTCGGCTTTTCCTTGGAATGATTTGAAATGGGGTCTAACCAGAGCACCAGAAAATCTGATACTAGGGGTGGCCAGTTACCTGGCTGTTTGAGTTGGTTGAGGTTCCTTCGAGATCCACGTATTGGCTGTGGTTTAAACCCAAATTCGCAGAGAGATAACGTTGGTTTAAGGACTGATATATCCTATGCCAGATATGTCTAGATTCTCTCTCCGGTGCTGTTGCCCTATCAACAGATGTCACTGGGAGATGTGACAGAGCAACTTATACTGAATTCCTGAAACCGTTGAGTATCTCTTACTCTTCGCGTAGTAGGGCGCCAGTATAGGTTGGGGAATTCTCAGGTTAACACTTGGTAGTTGTCTGTCATTCCGTAGATCGTTCTTTATGGTCTGAGAATGGAACTTATGTAATTGGTGAACGATCGGGAAAGACTCCTCTGCCCTACAGGAGACTAGTACTGATTTAGAAGACCTTTTACTTCAGGGAAGTTCTCGGTGCTGTTGACATCTCAACAGGATTCTTATTGTTTCATGCTACGCGAGTTATGGTTGACAGCTACCACTCAACTTGTCGGGGTAAAATTGGGTTCGAATTGAAAATATGTTTAAGAAGTGCGCCTTATATACATGGGAATAAATCCAATTATGGAATAATCACCCTATATGTACGTAGGTATTATATTTTGTTTATGAAACTCACTTGTGTTGTATTAATTTTAGTATCAAGTTTGTTGTTGCTTTTATATACTTCATCTTTCGATATAATATATATATAAATACAGATGAATATATTTCAAATTTCTTAGTGGCCTAGGTTATGATAGCAATAATGAAAAACCAGTTGTTTTCCTCTACCTATAGAAGGTTAATAAAAAGAAACATAAAAATCTAATAACATGCTGTTACTGATTCCCCTACTTTCCCTATATGTAAAAAATAAATCGATATAAATTAATTAACAATTAAACAAAAAAAAAAAAAAAAAGAAACCAACAAAGAAAACCTAAAATAATTAAACTTACCTGTAATATACTTGTTTTACCGACGCCAGTGGCCCCCAAAAATGCCGCTTTAAGGGGGCCCTGTAGCCATGGGGGCTCTGCACCACCCTCCAGAGTGATGCGCTATGCTGAAATGCACTTATTTTGTATATGAATTTCCATTGCGATTGAGATCTTTGTAGATTTTGTTGTAGAATTGTCACCGACATAGTCAACGCTGCGTGTGCTGCCAATTAAAAGTTTTTTCGAATTTGTCGGTGAAATAGTGCTCCACATTATATTTTGAAAGAACGCCAGTTTGCAATATTTTTCTATTATTTGTCTGTCTGTTTCTTTTTTTAATTAAATGTTGGGGGGTTTGAGTTGGTTTTGGTTTGGTAAAGAAATTGTGCGTTTGTGTTTTTTTTGCTGTTGTTGGTATTCGGTTGTTTGAGTTTGAAAATATTTTGGAGTAAGAGATGGTGTTTAAATGTTTTCTTTACAACAATTGTTTGTGAAGTCTACTAAATTACTGTAGTTTTTTGTCAAATGTTTTCTTAGTTTTCTTTTTTTAGTTTTTTTTTTTGTTTTCTATTTTTCAGTTATTGATAGAAGAATGAACATTTCAGTTTTAATTAAAAAATATATTGCTTTTAATTTTCCTGGAGATTTGGGAGTTTTGTGCAGTATGACGTCCAAATGATGAGACAAATGAAGTAAATAAAATCTCGACTCAAAATTAAATGTTGATTAATGATGTTTTTTTTTTGGCACAAGTTGAGGTGTTTTGAATATTGCTGGAAATAATTGAAAAGAAAATGTATAATTAAATTTTAATTGCATTTACTATTAAATAGCTATTATACAACAGTCAAGAGAAGTTATTCAAATCATCAAAAAAGATGGAGGGTATATTCCGTTCCGTTTATAACACATAGCAGTATTGGTCTTAGATCCAGGAAAATATATATGCTTGGTCCTCATTAGATTCTAAGACGACCTAGCCACGTCCGTCCGTCTGTTGAAAACACGCTAGAGCTAGAGGGCTGATTTAGAGGACACAAATACTTTTTATTGATGCAGGTTATTTGTGTTGAAAATGGACAAGATCGGTTCACGATTTTACCTGGCCCCCATACAAATGGCCCCCGTAATACAATTTAAACAGTCCTAACTGGCTTAAAAACACCAGTACAGTGATCAATTCGACATAAGCAAGTTTTACAAGAACAAAAATCTCTTAACAAAATTTTATGAAGATCGGTGGCATAATATATCCCACCTTTAACGCCCATTATGGGCTCAAAAATACAACTTTAGAGATGAAATTCACAATACCAGTGTGTTAGTTAGTTAGTTAGTTAGTTAGTTAGTTAGTAGTTAGTTAGTTAGTTAGTTAGTTAGTTAGTTAGTTAGTTAGTTAGTTAGTTAGTTAGTTAGTTAGTTAGTTAGTTAGTAGTTAGTAGTTAGTTAGTTAGTTAGTTAGTTAGTTAGTTAGTAGTAGTTAGTTAGTTAGGTAGTAGTTCGTTAGTTCGTTAGTTAGTTATTTGTTTAGTTTTTTAGTTAGTTTTTTAGTTTAGTTTAGTTAGTTAGTTAGTTTTTAGTTTTTTTAGTTTTTTAGTTATTTTTTTTTAGTTTTCTTTTTTTAGTTAGTTTTCTTTTATTTAGTTAGTTAGTTAGTTTAGTTAGTTAGTTAGTTTTTAGTTAGTTAGTAGTTAGTTATTAGTTAGTTAGTTAGTTAGTTAGTTTAGTTAGTTAGTTAGTTAGTTTAGTTTAGTTAGTTAGTTAGTAGTTAGTAGTTAGTTAGTTAGTTAGTTAGTTAGTTAGTTAGTTAGTTAGTTAGTTAGTTAGTTAGTTATTTCTTTTAGTTAGTTATTTCGTTCGTTTCGTTAGTTTCGTTAGTTTAGTTGTTTCGTTAGTTAGTTATTTTTCGTTCGTTCGTTCGTTCGTTAGTTCGTTTCGTTTTCGTTCGTTCGTTCGTTCGTTCGTTCGTTCTTCGTTTCGTTCGTTCTTTACGTTCGTTCGTTCGTTCGTTCGTTTCGTTCGTTTCGTTCGTTCGTTCGTTCGTTCGTTCGTTTCTTTGTTCGTTCGTTCGTTCTTCTTCGTTTCGTTCGTTCTTTCGTTCGTATTTCGTTCGTTCGTTTCGTTCGTTCTTTCTTTCGTTCTTTCTTTCTTTGTTCGTTCTTCTTTCGTTCTTCTTTCGTTCTTTCGTTCTTTCTTTTCTTTTTTCTTTGTTCTTTTCTTTCGTTCGTTCTTTCGTTTCGTTTCGTTTCGTTTCGTTCTTTTCTTTCTTTCTTTTCGTTTTCTTCGTTTTTTCGTTTTTTCTTTTCTTTCTTTCTTTCTTTCTCTTCTTGTTCTTTCTTTTCTTCGTCTTTCTTTCTTTCGTTCTTTTTCGTTCTTTCTTTCTTTCTTTCTGTTCTTTCTTTCTTTCGTTCGTTCTTTCTTTCTTTTCTTTCTTTTTTCGTTCTTTCTTTTTCGTTCTTTCTTTCTTTCTTTCTTTTCTTTCTTTTCTTCTTTCTGTTCTTTCTTTCGTTTCGTTTCTTTCGTTGTCTTTCTTTTCTTTCTTTCTTTTCTTTCTTTCTTTCTTTTTTTTCTTTCTTTTCTTTCGTTCGTTTCTTTCTTTCGTTCTCTTCGTTCTTTCTTTCTTTCGTTCGTTCTTTTCGGTTCGTTCGTTCGTTCGTTCGTTCGTTCGTTTCGTTCTTCGTTCGTTCGTTCTTTCGTTCGTTCGTTCGTTCGTTCGTTTTTAGTTCGTTCGTTTCGTTCGTTCGTTTTCGTTCGTTCGTTCTTTCTTCGTTCTTTCGTTCGTCGTTCTTTCGTTTCGTTCGTTTTCTTTCGTTCGTTCTTCGTTGTTCGTTCGTTCGTTCGTTCGTTCGTTCGTTCGTTCGTTGTTCGTTCGTTCGTTCGTTCGTTCGTTCGTTTCGTTCGTTCGTTCGTTTCGTTCGTTCGTTCGTTTTCGTTCGTTCGTTCGTTCGTTCGTTCGTTCGTTCGTTCGTTCGTTCGTTCGTTCGTTCGTTCGTTTCGTTCGTTCGTTTAGTAGTTTTTAGTTAGTTAGTTAGTTAGTTAGTAGGTTTAGTAGTTAGTTAGTTACAATTTGCTACAGAGCTGCACCGAATTTCAAAAGACACTTCTTGAAATTTCAACTACTTTAAGATTAAAAGGGTGATGCAATCCCATGCTATGGGTATACATAACATATAATAAAATTGAACCACTATTACATTGTTTGAGCTAAAAATATCAGGACGTAAGCTTTATATTTTGAAAGACTACTGAAACCACCAAAAACGTTCTTCTCTATATGATGATTAGGTTGAATATAAAAGGATAAACAAACCTACATAAACTTCTAATTCTTTAATATTTATTTCATAAACTTTTTCCTTGTAAGCAATTTATTGTTTTTTATTTGTTGAAAAAAAATTTTTTTTTTTGCTCCACAAAATATCATCTTTAAAGAGGAGAACAAACAAATAAATTTCTGAAACGTAAAAAAACATCATCATAAAATTAAAAACAAACAAACCAGGCAGTCATCCATCGAAAACAACAACAACAAAACATAAAACACTACAAGGAAAGAAATAAAGAAGCAATTGCCGGAGCCGTATATATTGTTCCTTACTTGGAAAAAGAAATCCAAAAACAAAAAAATTAATACAAGTATAAACAATAAAAAAATAAAGTGGGGCAAAGTAATGTGGAACAATGTTGAGTAATGTGGGTTAAGAAACAAACTGCCTCAATAACAATTTGTTATGAATGAATTTTGTTTTGATGTTCACAGCAATAAAATTCATTTTTTTGTTTTTATGAGTTTAACAAATAGAAAAAAACAGCAGAAACAAAAAAAAATCAAACATCCCTTTTTCGCGTAATGTGACCATTTCAATATTTTCTCGATATCTGAAAACAGGAAGTAGGTATGAGTGTGTGGGAGGTATCTTTGTCAGTTTGTTTGTTTTCCAGACAATCATTCTGTCTTTATGTGTGTCTGTCTGACTATTTTTTGCTTTGTGAGAATGATGCCAATAAAATTGTAATTTATCAAATCTAAAAAAATACTAAAATTCAAATAGACACACACACAAACTGACAGACAGACAAATTTACAAACAAATAGACAGATTGTTTATGGTACATTGGTATGAGGAAGATTTTTCTTTAACCCACCCTCAATTTCAAGGAGGAAAAGTAAAAACAAAACTTTTTAGTAATTTTTCCACACTATTTGCAATTGTATTTTAAATTTCTTAAATCCCCTCATTAATTGTTGAAAATACTAATTTTTAACAAATGAACTAAATAGGTTTGAAATTCAATGTCTATTTATTTGACTATACCACCACAGTATATTGCCAGTCAGCAACACAGCCAGACAGAGTCACACTAATACAGATACTCATTAAAACCGCATTACATGATAAATGATAAACCATCATAGACCGCATCCACATCTAATTCTGTTTAGTTCCTTTTTGGAAACATCCTATTTTAGAGGAATTAATATTCATTTAAACTCCTATTCGTTTGGGATGAATTTGAAACTTGTTTATATTGACACAGAAACAAAAAATTGAATTAATGGTTTTAAATATTTGTTTATCTTGCCGATTGTTTGTTACTGAAATGGAAATGCTTTCAGGATTTCGTAAATAAAACAAATAAAGGAGAAACATTTCATTTATTTCTTAATAAGTATTCAATGTAAATTTGGAATTTGATATGAAATCAATTGCAGAAAATGTGCTGAACTTGGTTGTGTAGAGAAAGTAAGATATATGTATTTATAAATAATTATTTTTGGTTTTGGTATGAACTGAAGGAACTATGAAACACCACTATCGGGAACTCTATTCGGGGATTGATGTCATCATTTTCGTTCTAACTAACTAACTAACTAACTAACTAACTAACTAACTAACTAACTAACTAACTAACTAACTAACTAACTAACTAACTAACTAACTAACTACTAACTAACTAACTAACTAACTAACTAACTAACTAACTAACTAACTAACTAACCTAACTAACTAACTACCTAACTAACTAACTAACTAACTAACTAACTAACTAACTAACTAACTAACTAACTAACTAGACTAACTAACTACTAACTAACTAACTACTAACTAACTAACTAACTAACTAACTAACTAACTAACTAACTAACTAACTAACTAACTAACTAACTAACTAACTAACTAACTAACTAACTAACTAACTAACTAACTAACTAACTAACTAACTAACTACTAACTAACTAACTAACTAACTAACTAACTAACTAACTAACTAACTAACTAACTAACTAACTAACTACTAACTAACTAACTAACTAACTAACTAACTAACTAACTAACTAACTAACTAACTAACTAACTAACTAACTACTAACTAACTAACTAACTAACTAACTAACTAACTAACTAACTACTAACTAACTAACTAACTAACTACTAACTAACTAACTAACTAACTAACTAACTAACTAACTAACTAACTAACTAACTAACTAACTAACTAACTAACTAACTAACTAACTAACTAACTAACTAACTAACTAACTAACTAACTAACTAACTAACTAACTAACTAACTAACTAACTAACTAACTAACTAACTAACTAACTAACTAACTAACTAACTAACTAACTAACTAACTAACTAACTAACTAACTAACTAACTAACTAACTAACTAACTAACTAACTAACTAACTAACTAACTAACTAACTAACTACTAACTAACTAACTACTAACTAACTAACTAACTAACTAACTAACTAACTAACTAA